ACCCCCACCTTGCTACAACTTCCTTTCAGGTTACTACCCCTCCCTGGCAGTGTTCAAGGCCAGGCTGGATGGGGCTTTGAGCAACCTGGTCTAGGGGAAGGTGTCCCTGCCCATGGCAGGGGGGTTGGAACTGGGTGATCTCTAAGGTCCCTTCCAACCCAGACCATTCTGTGATTCTGTATCTGTTTATAGGAGTGAAACCAGATAATCACTGAATGAAAACAATGCAGAGATTTGAAACTGGGAAAGTTCCTCTTTATGGAGGGCAAGTTTAGGTTGTCTCAGAAACTACTGATTGACCAACCAGTTGTTCTTCAGACTCTTGTGCTGAAGATTGGACTGCAGCAAATAGTCTTCCTATAAGAACGAATTCAAAGGTCTCCTCTTTGCTTCAAAGCAGATCTGATTGGCTAGGAAAATTTTGTCAATGAAAGCGTTGTATCTGTACACACTTAGAACTTTCTCACTGATTTGGAAATGTGGCAGGCTGTCTGAATTTTTGAGGGCTCAAAAGCACTTCAGAGCTCATAAGGGTATTTTCAAGTAAAAATAAGTTAAATCGTTGGAAATAGACATTGCATCTTCTTGGAAATGTTTCAGGCTGGTGCTGAGTTCATTGAGAAGACCTTAAAGAACCTCACAACAAGCACAGATGCAGTAGCAGTGGTCCACAGCACGGATCTGGTGATAGAAGCCATCGTGGAGAACCAGGAAATTAAAAATGAACTCTTCAAGAGGCTGGATAAGTTTGCTCCAGAGTATGTGTATTTTTCCTGTTACATTTTGAAACTTAGACTTTTGTACCTTCTGTTTTTATTCTTACACTGTTCTGCATTTTCTTAGCTGCTTTTTTAAAAATCAGGAGGTTTTCTCCCTTAGACTAATTCCAACTGTCCTATGATAAGGAAGAGTGGTTCTACCAGTCATGTGGTATGGAATAGTTGTACCAGGTGCATGTGTTACAAACCCTTTCAGGTATATTAACCAGGTTTATTTACTTGTTGCATTGCTTCATTTGATGCACTTCTGGATATGTTTAGTCATAAAGTTTGTGCGTTTACTCAGCAAGTTCAAATCTAAATCCAAATGCAAATGCACAACAGTAGAATAAGTTTGTCTTGGTAACATGGAATGTGGTTAACATACGTGTTCCCATACTTAAATAGGGAATTAGGATGATAAAATATTTGTTTTCAGCATGCCTGGCATGAACAAGTTTGAAGAAGTCTCAGCCTCTTAGCCGTTAAGTCAGTCAGCTCAACGATGGCTCAAGTAAACTAAGTTTACTTTGTATCAGAAGAGTTTGGAGATAGCTCATTGCTGGTTATTGTGTGAGAGGTAAAAGTGTAAATAATTCCTTAGCATGCACTTGCTTAGTTACAGTCCCTGGAACTTTCTTTGAACTATATTTGATAACTGTTGGGAGTTACTGTTGAATTGTATCCAAACCCAAAAATGCTCTTAAGCTGAGCATGCAGTTTCTGAAGCTTGATCCTTGTAACGGGTCACTCAGGATCACAAGACCTTGACTGCTTGCAGGTTGAGGTTTTAACTAGTACTGGGGGTATTGGCTATGAGGTACTCTAGGCTGCCTAACTAAAGAACTAGGCAAGCTGCAGCTTGAATATAATGTCAAGGGAGAAAAGATGTTATCACTGGTTGACTTCAGCCTGGGGAGATTTTCAGGCTGTCTCATATGGTTGGTAATCAAAATTACCTGGTACTTCTGAAAACAATAAATGAATACAAACAGCTGTGCACTGAGCACAGGGACGGACAAAAGTAGGTAGCTGCCTTCGGCAATTGTCAAGGTACCTTGTCATGATTAGATTGTGCTTGTTTTGTGGAAACACACCATTGGTTCCCTGAGTCCGTGTCCATATTCAGCAGAGAAAGCTAATGAGCAAATTAGAGTGTACTAAATGGCAGACTGTCTTGAACCAATCAGCAAGGAAAGGTGGACACAGGGACTTGGAGCCCCTTTTAATAATATGTGTATTTGGAACACTGAGGGAAGTTTTTGTAAGACTGAGCTGTTTATAAGCGTGCTGCCTTGAAACATCAAATTTTACATTACAGAGTGTTAAAAGATACTGGCAGTTGTTCAGATATGCTCCTTCCTGTAGCGAAAGGCGTGATTTTACAGGGTTGGGAAAATTACATGAGACGAGAAGCCTTTCTTTTTAAGAGGAGAATTGGAAATTATGATAAACATACAGATATCATACATGTAGGATAAAGAAAAGGGAAGTGAATGATGAAGGATATGGGTTGCAGTGTAGAAAGTCTAGATGAAAAGGAAGCTGGTAAGACAGTGAAACTTAGTAGCTAAATGTTTAAAATATTATTAGATACAAAGGGTGATTTGTAATTATGTGAGGATATAGAGTTGCAGATCGTGTGAGTAGCATGGGGAAAGGCAGAAATGCCTAGCGAGTGTTTTCCTGTGCATGAGAAGGAAGCAGAAGGCTTTATTCATCCTGCGCAGCGCTGCGGTGGAGTGGAAAGCTCTCCCTGTCAGTCCAGGCGTCCTACAGCCTTCACTAAGATCCAACATTTCAAAATTTCTAGAACTATTACATGGACTAACTGTTGCGCCAGCTTAGTAGTGGGGGTGGACTTGTGGTTGGTTGGCAACGAAGACAAGATTGGTTTGAAGATAGCTTTGAGTCTCGGGAGCAGCTTTGGTTCTGTGGGGCCCTGGGCGTTGATGGCACTGTGAAGAGCACACGTAGGCAGACATGATGAAAGACCAGGCTTCTGAGGAGGGAGGACTTGTCTTAATTCAAATCTTGGGACTTAATCGCAGGGGTAGCTGATAGCTGATCAAAACATAAGAGACTGTGTCTTGCTCAGACAAGATGATGAATTACGCCTTTGGAACATAAGCTGTGTGAAACCTTGCATTTTTCTTCTTTTGTGCCGTATGCCATGTCTTGTGTTTCCTCAGCTGCAACAGCTACGTGTTCATCTCCCATTTTTGCCCTATGATGGCATCTCCAATGAAGATAAGTCTGGGAGCAGCACAAAACCAAAGCATTGCGTTAAAAAAAGCCAACACAGTTAACTTATTTCCTCTTCCTTTTTCTCTGTAAAAGAAATATAATTGTGGATCTATAAATGGAGGGGGGTGGGAAAGCTATTCTTTATTGAGAGGAGTTTTATTTGAGGGTGGAGAGTGAATTATTCTTAAGTTTTCAGAGAAAATGTAATGAGCCGGGAGAGTTTGGCAACCCCAGAGAGCATTGGGAGCTCAGGGTATTCCTCATCTGGGTGACTGTCCAGCTGAAACAGTGAATGCTGTTTCTTGAATGCCATCAGTCTGAGAGCATACTAGTTTATGTCCTCAGAGCTTTGCAAAATTGCTTGTGTATGCTTTATGCCTCTCAGTGTTAACACTCATCCTCCTAATACAGTATTTGTTCCTGTGTTACATCGCCATCATCTTCAGAGCAGGCTATAAGGCATTGCTACCCTCCCTTCAGTTCTGTTTTCCTTTTCTTGAATTGAGTCAGTCTCATGTTTCCATTTTGAAAAGGTCAGGCTACGGTTTTTGTAGAATATCCCCACGTTCTTCGTGGCTTTTAGGCATTTAAACAGTGCAGCACTTTTCCAAAGAGGATCATAATGAACATGACAAAAGTATTTTTGGGTTTCCACTTTGAGAGCTCTTGCCTGCTTGCTTTCTTTTTATTTCTGAGCGGTGGGAACGCCTGTCAACACCTTTTGGTCTAGGATTTATCTGTAGATGTAGGAACTCAGGTAGGAACTGGCCAGTGGTTTGCAGCTGTTCACTGTGTTAGAATCAGTGTGTTAGAAAACTGTTAGAAAAGAAGTGTTGTCCAGTGTTCACAGTGCAATGGAGCTGGAGTGTAAGAGTCAGTGTTACTGAAATGGTGTGTTTCTGTTGTGTTGGACTCTGCTTTTAATGTCTTCCCCTGACCCACTAGATGGCACCGACAGAAAGCACACTGGTGCCCGGAGAAGCATCACTGGGGCTTCACTAGTACTGTTGCCTTCAAAAGCCTCCCAACGCTGCTGTCACCTGAAGCATGGAGTATGTAATTCTAAGTCACAGAGGCATGTAAATTCTATTTGAAACTCAACTTAAATCAATTGGTTGGTCAGAGCAGAAAGTGTAAATAAAACGCCCTTGCACGCAATACAAATGTAATGCTTTTTTTTCCCAAGGCTTTATGTTGTGTGAGGCTACAGTATTCACCCACAGAAGTGATGCTGAGGTAAAATCTCTTACTTTAAGTGAACCCAGAGATTACATCTCACAAATCAACGTGCTTAATTTTTATATGAATATTTGAATTCTTCGTATACAGTGGCAGATTTTCAGTGAAGGTAAGTTTGTTTTGGATGCATTGACCTTGTGAGGTCAAAACTATGAAATGTAGAATATTCTTTTTAGTACCCCACCTCAGAATAATATAAGGCTTTATGATGGAGAAATGTCGAAAGAGTAATTGTAAGAAGTGTAGACAGGCATTTTCAGTTTGTTTTTTTTGCTTCTCCATAACAAATTCTCAAAACCAGAAAACATAATTAAAAAATGGAAATCAGTGTGGGTGTTTTTGTGCCCAAATGTTTTCTTTTAATGCAGCTATAAGATGTCCCCATGACTTGGACTTAAGTTTTCTGAAAACTCTGTTGTGAAGCTCAGTTATATCTTAGTGAAATGTAGGCAAAATACCAATGTAGATTAACATTTGATGGGTCCGGTAGGATATAGCTCAGAATGGAAGGTGGGGTTTCGTCTCTAATTCAGTTTCTGATTTTTGTGGTTTGAAGAAAAAGCCATTTCTGTAAGTTTTCGATGTGATGTCAGTATAGCAGGGCTGTTGAGGTTCTGAGATATTTCTGGGGAAAAAACCCAAACCATTATAAATTGCAAGTAGTTAATCTGGTTTACCTCTGGAAAATTACTTCATATGTGTCTTACAATTCTTGTGATTTTGTGTATCCATTGCAGTGTCCTATGCATGGCAGTTTTTATCTTTTCTCTGGTTTTTTTCATCAGCTCTTTGCTCTGGTTCTAGGTTGCACATCACGTCTGACATTGGTCATTATTAAGAAAAAAAATAGATTCCAAATTTTTCTTAAGGCTCCAAAGTGCATTTTTGACATGGCAAATGATTGGATTTGCATACATGTGTAAATGATTAACAACAAAAAATACCATTATGGTTCCGGGATTGCTGAAGGAATTACCTGGAATAGATTTGGGGAGTTAAGAAAAACTTTATACTTAGAGAGTCTTTTTTTTTTCCATCACCTAATGCAAGTATTCAACATGCTTACTTGGGAGTTAGAAACTCACACAGCTCTCCCAGTGGCTGTTTCATCATTGCTGTGCTTACACCTCAGCAAAAGGACCATGATAATTTGCAGGGATATTTCTGAGAATTCTGTGGATGGATAGCCAATGGATGTCTGTTTGTGTTTAGTGCACCAGCCACCTACTGTCAGGAAAACAGCAATCCGTGTGTTTCTTTTTTTCCAGGCATACGATATTTGCAAGCAACACTTCATCCTTGCAAATCACGCAGTTGGCTAACTCAACGACCAGGCAGGACCGATTTGGTGGTCTCCATTTCTTCAATCCTGTGCCTATGATGAAGCTTGTGGAGGTAAGTGTCTTACAGCGTCACCATAATAACCACTGTAGCACAGCAATGCAATTGTCATCACTGAGAATTCAGTTAGATGAAAGAGCAGGTCTCGGTTTGCAGCTCTTCTGATAGGGAATAAGCTACCTCTAGTGATAAGGGGGTGCTGCAGTCTCTGTTGAGGGCAAGGTTGAAGAGACAGAGGTAACTCCTTCCGTGTCGAGGCTTCGAAGTTCTCCACTGTACTGCCAACAGAGGTGCCATTTATAGTGATCGTTTCAGGCATGCAGGCAAGCTGATTAGGAAGAACTACTGACAGCTGTCATCCAATGACTGAGGGAGGAATTTGATTGTTACCAGCATGGAAATCAATAGAAAATGGTGTGAGGTGAAATCTTACTGCCTTGTGACTTCTTAAACAAAATCAATCATGTTTGTTTCAGTGGTCCAGGTAATTTGTCTGGAAGTATTACAGCATTTCCCAGCCTTTAAGAAAGTATAAAAAGAAGTTTTTACATAACTCTTCAGACATCTTTTCTAAACATACTCTCTTTGGCTGCATCATGCAATTTCTAATAATACTGCAGTGCAGAGCAGAATGAGAAATAATCTGATATAAGAGTTTATCTGAGCCTCCATAGTAAAGGTCACATTGTAGAAAAAGCAACAGGTCTCCTCCTTTTTCTCACCTTCCCCTGTTATGGCTAACTTTGATCAGCTGGAACTTATAAACAGTTGAGTAAGTGAAGATAAACTTTGCATTTTGACCACTCTGTCACGAAGTTTCATGTACTTCATGCCCTTAAATGCTGTAAATATTTTTCCTCTGTGCCATGAGTGATTAGTTCTAGTATTGCTTTAGTGACAGACACTTCAAATATGTTGTGCCTGCCTTTTGAACTCCTGAGATTCGCTTTATTATATTTTTTGCTTGTTTCCCATTAAAATACGTATTATGCAGTTGCTTGCTCTGTGTCTTTGAATGTATCATTCTCTTCCTTCTGCTTTTGAAATGTTTGAACCTTTTGGCTAAAATGAACGAATTTGATTCAGAGTATGGTTGTCTGATGAGGGCTTGGGCACTTGCAAATTCTCTCTTGCTGACTTCCATACCCATGTGGATTTTTTTTTTTACTTTAATATTGCATCCTGTATATTGTGACTAAGTGCTCTGGGGCAATGTTGGAAGAGGAAAGGGAGGAATTTTTTAGGCGTTGTCAGAGACAACAGAAATCTTTAGCGTAATTCCTTAGGCTAACATGGTCTTTATTGATTTCTGTGTTAAGAACTACTTGTTGGCAGTAATTTATTTCCATGGATGAAATGATCTATGCCTTGTCTCAAGCATAAAACAAATCATAGTCTTTAGAAATCTAAGCTAAGCCTCTGTGAGATTTGAAAAATACCAAAGATATCTGTCATTGTTTGTAAAAAACAAGACAGAGCAATCCCTGTCTGGCTGCTGTGATCAGTCTTGGTAATTTGTGGGGTTTTTTCACCTGACATATGAATGTCCTACCCCAGAGTCACTCCGTGATGAGCAGTACTTGAAGAACTTTAAAACACAGAAGCTGTGCTTTTAGTGACTTGATCTTGAACGGCACCAATATTACTAAATAAATACACTTTTAAAAGCTGTGCTTTTGTTTCAGATCTACTGCTGTAAATCAGGATTGGCATTGATAAGCACTGTAGAACAATGTTTTCTGTGTAAAACAGATATTTCAGTTTGAAATAATTGGGGGAAAATGAAGAGAATCATTGAAACAATGAAAGATATTACTGAGATTGCCAGTCATCTGTCATGGAAGCTGTCCTTCATGAGTCACAAATCTGCAGTGCCTTTGAGTCTTATCTGCTCTTTTCGTAATTGTTGATCTCATGCTCAGAAGCACGTAGCTTTGAGGGGATTTCTTTCTCTAATAATCCAAAAGGCTAGTGCTAATGTTTAAAAATTCTAAAGCATGTGTTAAAAACTGATTCTTGAAACTGTTGCAGTCTTATGTAAGTATCTCAGATATTTTTATCTAATACCAACGTAAAATAACACTATTTTTCAGGCTGAGAAACAAATCTTTTCCTCAGGTGTTGAGGATCCTTAATGCATCCCAACTCCAGTGAAGTATAGGAAATACTGCGTGTGACAAAAGACTCAGTTGTGAAGAAAATCAACATGGAAACCTACTACTCAAAAGCTAGGAGGCTGTCACAAATTTGAAAGATAGATTTTAAATTTCCTTTAGAATTAAATGTCTCTGTTGTGTTTAAATTGGGCACAGGGCAGATGTTACAACCCTTTATGTCGGGAATTATGTCAGTTAATATGGTTCTTTAGAGTGATGCCATCGTGTTTCCCAAGGCAACAGAGACTATGTAGCTTTTGAAGTTGTTTTGTTATACTGTGATCTCTAAACATGATTCCAAAGGATGGTCCCTTTTACCATCCATACTGTCTGAGTGGGAAAGTGTCTTAAAGAAACACATAATTTCAAAATGTGCAAAATGCTGTATCTATCTTTAAAATAGATTTCTGTGTCTGTTACATATATATCCACTGATTTTTTTTTTTTTTGCAAAACAAATGTTTTGTGAATTTCTGGATTAGTGTTCTGGATTGCTGTACTGGGAAATGAGAGAGATTCTGATCATAAATGTGCTTATGTTTTCCCTACCTTCCCTCTGCCTAGGTCATCAAGACTCCAATGACCAGCCAAAAGACTTTTGAATCACTTGTGGATTTCAGCAAAGCAGTAGGAAAGAGTCCTGTCAGTTGTAAGGTGAGTACATTTTGATTGTAGAGTGTTCAGAAGGTCTGTTCTTGAAAACTTAATTTTAAGATGGTAGGTTTTAGTAGATGTAAGAGCACTTCAAGAATTTCCAGGTTGTTTTTGTCCAGTTTCTCTTCTGTATTAAAAGCATTTTGACAAAGAAAACACCCACATTTACCACAAATTCCTCAAAGGAGAGTGACTCTAGCCATCTTGTCTAGAGCAGCAAAACTCACAAGTAACAAGGTTTGTAGTGTTGGTTTTTCTTTTCCAGTCCTGCAGAAGCTTGAACTGCGGAGCTTAAGCAGGAGCTCATCTTTAGCCATGCTAGAGACAGGACTGCTACCTCTTGTACTGTGAGGCAGTTGGATGAATTCTCCATGGTGTGTGCTTATTGCAAGTTTTTCTTAAGACTGCAGTAACTAGACCAGTATTAATCTTCATTACTTCGCAGCTTTGGTTTTTTTCTCTAGAGGAACACCCTACTTCCTAAGCATGCTTTTTCCCAGTCCATTAAGTTGTGGTCTGGGTAGCTTTATGCAAGCTGTTGCCTTGAGTTTCACAGCCCCCAGGAGACATTTGGTCATAAAAGGAAGGGCCTGCAATCCGGTAGTTACCAGTAATGCAGCGTCTGGATGCTGGACTGTAATTCTGGCTGTACTGCTAAATTGCTCTGTGGCCTTAGTTGACTTTTTTTTTTGTTTCTGTAACAGTTTTGCAGTATGTAATGTGCAGAATATATGATGAATTCTTTTCTTTCTTTTTTTCCTTTCTTTTCCTTCTTTCTTTCTTTTCCTTCTTTCTTTCTTTTCCTTCTTTCTTTCTTTTCCTTCTTTCTTTCTTTTCCTTCTTTCTTTCTTTTCCTTCTTTCTTTCTTTTCCTTCTTTCTTTCTTTTCCTTCTTTCTTTCTTTTCCTTCTTTCTTTCTTTTCCTTCTTTCTTTCTTTTCCTTCTTTCTTTCTTTTCCTTCTTTCTTTCTTTTCCTTCTTTCTTTCTTTTCCTTCTTTCTTTCTTTTCCTTCTTTCTTTCTTTTCCTTCTTTCTTTCTTTTTCCAAAAAGTCCTGTTTGTAGGAAAAAAGTTGCTTGGAATTCTCTGCGTTAAATATTGAAATAAAATGGAATGAACAGTAAACATCTGAAACAGTAGTAGTATATGAAATAATACCATAGTTGCAAAGCTCTTTTTTCTTTGTATTTTTGACTTTGATTAAAGCTTGTGTAAAAGAAGTTCTGTGTCAGTTTGTTACCTTCTTCTGACAGCATCTTTTCGTTGGTGTTTGATATTGAAGTGATCCTAACTTTCAAAGCATGGTTTACCAGTGAGCAGTGGGGAGAAGTAGACTATTTAGCTAGGAGTGTTTCTAGTAGTGAACACGCAGAAAAACCTGTCAGGGAAGAACTGCTCTTCTCATATCCTTCAGGAAATTGTATCAGCAGAATTTTGCTAAAGAAAAGGTGTTTGCTGACTGGCCACATTAAATTGTTTTAAGATTAATTGAGTTGGGCTTGTAGTAGTCTTATTGTTCTCACTCATGATGAATGTTTATGTGCCATTCCTTGTTTGTGAAATTCATCTTTTGTGTTTTAATACTGAGCAGATAAATCAGATGAAAAATGCAGTTTAGAGAGTACCAGAAGTTGATGATTCAATAAGTGTCTTCATCTACTTGTTTAATTTGTCATGCAGCATTTGAGTGTAGTACTGGTAAAGTATGTTTATTTAGAATCCCCTTTTTTCTTTTCATAGGATACTCCAGGGTTTATTGTAAACCGTCTGTTGGTGCCATATATGATGGAAGCTGTTCGACTCTTTGAGAGAGGTACTTGTTGGGATATTAACTTCAGGGAATGTTGACATACACACTGCTAAATGTTATATCCCTTCACAAAAGCCTTGGGATTCCCTCAGCGCTTGCAGACCTTAAAGGCTGGAAGTGAATAGTTGAGCGTCAAATATGAGTCAATATGTGTAGTTGGGAAGACCTTGTCTTCACTTTGAAATGAAGGTACTAGTTACTTGGGTGCGAAATTTCTGGTAGTGGAACATGTTTCTGGTTTGGGGATGACAAGGTGAGTGTAGTGCCATTGTAAAAATATCCTCTGTCAGCTAATCAGAAACCTCCTTCTCTCTATCCCAAGAGATGTTAATGAAAGTGGTTGAAAATCCCATAGTGGGACCATTAGCAAAGTTCTCCTGAGTTTGCTTGTATTGGGCTTGTGAAATAAACCACCAATTTTCAGGTGAGGTAAGTATACTTGTATCAGTGTCACGCTACAGTATTGGCGTACAAGTGATTTGGGCTCAACTGTTGCCCCATAATAAAACCTTCTGTTCATCTTCTGTGTCCTTTTTCAGACATAGGTTCTTTGGGAACTCCCATCTCACTTCTGGTCTCTTTTACGTTAATAATGAGGGTAGGTAGAAATAATCACAAATCCCCAAAGAACCACTACATTTTTCAAAACATTTATAATTGTTTTGAAAAGGAAACAAGCCAATAATGTAGTGGATAAAGAGGAAATTATGGAGTATAATTGCTTTTATTTCAAGCGCTCTGCTCATAGCTCCATGCGACTAAGAATGTCATTTGAAACATTTTGTTTTTGAAATCACTGCTTTTTTACAGATGAAAGCACTCCATTATCAGGATTCCACCCAATATGCTTTAAATATTAAAAATCTCTTTTATAGCACATGGAAGGGATGGTTTGATCTCAAGAAAAGAAAAATATAAACCAACACTACTTGTTTATCCATCAACAGATGTACGTAATTACATCTCAAAGGGAGAAAAGAGCAAATTTAGTGACTTGAAAGGCAAAAGCATGGATGTGAGGGGGCATTATTCTCTTAGAAAAAGTCGCAATTTTAAATAAAGTGTATGGGTGTTCCAGTGTGAGTGAAAGAGGTGCCTTTGTTAAGTGACATGTATCATTATGCATATTTCAGGAGACAGTAGAACTTTTAATTAAATGTAGAAGAAAACAGTCACTGAGATTGTATGTTAAAATTGACTGGTTTCTGCCTAAGCAAAACATATTTTGATTTAATCTTTATTCTGTTTGTATTTTGTTCAACAGTATGGTATTTCCAAACTTGTTAAAGTTCATTTATGAATTTTTAACTAATGAAATCTATTTTAAAAGCTGATTAATGTTTTGAAAAGCCTGATGGCTGTCTTCTAATTCATATTTTCCATTGAGTCAGGTTAAATTTTTATCATATCCTTTGCATTAATTCTCAGAGTAGACACTTGAGCCAGATTGTCATCCACATTAGTATGAAATTGGGTCTCTTTCCTGGCAACCCCAAACACTGAAATACCATTTTATTAGGTCAGTCCTTGAGTCTTTATTTGTACAAAATCTCCTTGGGTTAAATGTGCGCTTTTGTATAGGGAAAATACCTATAGTATATTAACAGTGATTTAAGCAGGGGGCCCATTATAAATATTCATGTATGGTGGTTTGTACTGCCCTGTTCTTAGTGGAAAACCAAAAAAGCAGTCGGTCAAGTTTCTGTGGCAGTCCACTTTATGCTGGGAGACTAGCATGAACTAGATGTACAACCCTTGTTTGCCCTTTTACAATTTTCAATTGTATTGTAACACAACTGTATGCGTCCAAGGTGTCCAAGTCTGACAAAGTGGGACAAATGTGTTAAAAAAGAAGTATGTACATCTGCATCAACTTCAAATGAGTTGAGGATTTACTTGTGTTTTTTGAATTTAAGGAACTGAACTTATGTTAGAATTAAGCAAAGCTAATTTTCCCAGTTTCTCAGAAATAGTGTGGTTTAAAAAAAAAAAAAAGTTGTCAGCTTTAAGGAGTAAGAGGAGGGATATAAAAATTATTACTTTATACAGAACTTTCACTGAAGTTCTTGCCTTTACAAGAGCTTTTGAAAATTTACTTCTAAGGTTCTCTGATCTTAGGTGTGTAAATTGCATAGGCTATGTCAAGCTTTTGGACACCCTGAATGCCTGTATGCATTGAGCATGGAGGTTACTTAACAAGTACCCCTGGGGATTGTTTAACTTCATCCTTTCTATAGGATCTGCAAAGTGCACTGCCTTTATCAAAATGTGTATTAGAAATAAGCAGTAGAAGTGCATCTGCTTTCCTGACAGTGTAAAATATGTATTCACAGCAAAAGAATGAGATGAACTTTAACTGTGCCAATGTGCCAATGCGAGATTTGTCATGTTATAGGCACAGACTGAAGTAGAGGTAACAAATTTCTGATAATTTTGATATTTTCTTCTTAAATAATTTTGAAGTTCACAAATTTAACTACACCTGCACAGTCTCTTTAGGTCACTTCTATCTGCCATCTCTGATGCTGATGGATATCCTCTGGTGAAAGGTGCTGTAACTAAGCATGTTACTCGGCTGCTATTGCTCCTCTCCCCATGCCTGCCTTGTCCATCAGCCGGATATCACTTGCCTTCTGGCTGTTGTAGAGTAAGTGTAGCTCTGTCCTGTGCATCATTCAAAAGCTGCTGCTGATCTCATGAAGCTGAAATTGAGATCTTTCCTTACTTAGATTAGCTGCCTCTAAAAGAAGGTCTTGATTCTTCATAGTGACCAATTCTTCCTCTATTCTTTCTGATAGGTTGAGTGCAGTAGCTGTGGCTCCATCAATAGCGTAGTGATCTATATTGAAATGCAAGAGAAAGCTAGAAAAATGGAAAGCAGGCCTGCAGGGCTTTTTTTCTTTTTTTTTTTTTGTGAGAGATTCAGCTTTATAATCCAGCGTGTGTATGCTGACTCCAGGTTTTGTGGTTCTAAAACGTGCAGAGATTTCTGTGAAGAGCTGCACCAGGGTGAAATAACACTCTGTTAATTATTTATAAGTGGTGCCAAGTAGATGCAGAGTCTTCTCTTTTCATCAAACGTGTCAATCTTTTCTCTAGGAGATGCATCAAAGGAAGATATTGATGTTGCTATGAAGATTGGGGCTGGTTATCCCATGGGTCCATTTGAACTGCTGGACTATGTTGGGCTGGATACCAGTAAATACATTATAGATGGTACTGCATGCTTATTTCCTCCTATTTTTCCCCTTTTTAGCTAAATTGTAGATTAATGTTCTAATGAAAAACCTGACTCTTAATTACTTTAAACTGAGTCTATATGGCATAGCCTTTTAACTGTTGAGCCGAAAGGAATGAGAATTCAGCTCTGAATGCTGTACGTGTACAGCATTTGTACTGTATGTCTGTACCCTGTGCACACAGTGACAGAATAGTGGTGGTTTTGCTGACTTCATCAAGTTCCAGTGGAAAATAATAATAATACCGTGGAACTGTATATAACTAAAAAGAATCAATGGGAAGAGAGACTGTACTGGAGGTAGGAAATTCTGATGAAAAGCAACAAATGTTGAGACTACCTGTCCTTTTTCTGTGAGCCATGTTTTCATTTTCAATTAATAGGAAACCCAGTCAATACCTTAAAAGATTTAAGTATACTATCTGCCTTTCACTTCAGTTGGTAAGTGGGTGAATGAGTGTCAGTACAATAACAAAAAAAGACCTAATTGCTGGCGGCTTGTTGATGATTGTTGTATTATTTTGAATGAGCAGCTTAAATATTCTCTGAGGCAGAATGTCACTTTCAAAATTGCATCTTCAGTGAAACCTCTTTTGCTTTTAGCCAGTACTGTGGAGTAGTGTTATATTGTTCTGACTGACCATGTCTTTCGGAGATAGAAATTCAGCTTGAATTTTCCTTTCACTTGGAATTTTTTTTCATCATAGTCTTTGTTTTATTTCCTTGTACTTAACTGTATTTTAAAAGTTCTCCTTACATTTTTTTAAAAGTATTAAAAATCCTCAGTCATGGAGATTATAAGGTGTTCAGAGTAGACTACACCTAAAGACTGATTGCGAATTTGCTTATAATTATCAGTACTGATCTGTGCTTTATGAAGCTGTATTGGAGGGTCTCAGAGACTCTAGAATAAGTTGCAAAACTCCTTCAGCTTTCTGCCCTCTTCATATTTTTCTAAGGAGATGCAGATCTCTATTATCTTTGCATATAAACAGAACTGTAATTCATCCACTTCTTTTTTCCCACCAGGATGGCATGCACTAGAGCCCAACAATCCTCTTTTTGCACCCAGCCCACTCCTGAATAAACTGGTAGAAGAAAAGAAGCTGGGTAAGAAGACTGGAGAAGGATTTTACAAATACAAATGACCTCCAAACCTCGAGAGGTGTTAAACTATCTTTGTATGCTATTCATCATTGCCATATTACAGGTGAATTCTATTTAAACCCTCCCAAGGATGGCACAAGCTGCATTTAGAACATAACGCACCTCTGAACTGAGTCATTGCACTAGTTAACTATTTCTCTGGTGAAAGCTTGATTTTTGGTAGATTATTTTTTTCTTGTAATTCTGAAAAGCTTTATATGTACAGTGCCTTCATGCAAATGTTGATTTTTCAGGTTCAGGACAGAATGACAAATGAATTTATGTATTTGAAACATTATTATATTAACGTGAAAAATACTAAAAATAACCACACTTTCTTAAAAATAAAATTTTCAATAATTCTGTATTGAATGTGATGGCTTGCAGTTGATGTACTTGGTTGTAGTCCACTGGGTGGCAGTCTCTTTTCACGCTGGCAAATGTAGCGATGGAAAGGCAGGAAGTAGTTTTGTTGCAGTTTTTCTTAAGTGCAATGCTAATCTGCGAGTGTAAATTACAGTGCCTTGAACAATAATTTTTTTAATGTCATATTGGTTTTTTTTAAAAAAAAAATCCTGCAGTGGCAGGCTGTCACCTGGACAGAAGGTTTCCAATACAGCAGTTGAAAGCAGAACTCATGATTTGTGTTGGGATTTTCTGACATTTTCAAGTTCCTTTTGCTGGGTGCTGTAGAAACATAACGAAGAGGTGGTTTCTGTTCTGAAGGGCCCAATACATAGATTTGGTTTTTATTACCCAAGCTAGGAAGCTGGTGAAAGCTTCCATATGCTTGCTAGAGTTCTGTAAATTGGCTTTATTCACTGGCTATTAATTTTAAGTGTCATTTTTGCACCCTACATTGCTACTGTAGTTTAGTACTTCAGGGGTTTGAAATTGGAGTCTGTGCTGTGTAAACAAATAGGTGTGTCTGGCTGTGTGATGCACCTTTCGTTTTGCAACTTTATTTCCTTGGGGCTTAACAGGGGCTTAGCAGAGCCTGGGTTTGTTCAGGGCAGGAGCACTGCAAATCCAGGCTTTTCTCCAAATACTGCAGAGCAAGTGGGTATGAAGGTTGGAGTTCCAGTTCAACTGAGTAGTAGTCTTCTTTTACTTGATGTATTTTGGATCTGCAAGCTGAGTGCTTATCTATATATTTTAATTAAAGAAATAATGAGTAATTATGTAACTCTAAGTTGCCTCTTCCCCCCTCCCCCAACGTCTAATTCAGATTGCATCTAAAAAAACTGCCGCTGACAGACGTTGATTTCCTTGCACATGATCACACAAGAAATCTCTTGAGTAGAGAATAAAAACTGTTGGTTTGTTGGATCCTTGTTCCTAATTACAGATGATTTTGAGTCACTTCTCTTGAAAGAAGAGGGTTAAAGGAAAGAACTGGTCCTGTAGATAGTCTTTTTCCTTTACTAATGTTGTTAAGTTGAATTGTTTTTCCTAAACTACTGTCCACTTCTTGCATCTGAAGTCTGTTTCACTTGAAAGTTAGTGCCTGTAATTCAGTTTAGTGACTTTTAAGTGTTGCAGGGTGAAGTTAGCCTCAGAACTACTGTTTTCAGTAGTAATTGAGAATGGGAAAGTGTATTACTCATGTGTCTTAAAAAATGCTGTTTTTTTAGAAAAACATTTAGGCAGAATGAACTTGATGCTGCTCCCTTTACTTGGAAGATCATCTTTATTTTTAACTTGGAAATGCCTAGGTTTATAGCAAGGCATAGGCTATTTAATATTAAATGTACAAAGTATTTTTCGCAATTAAATGTGATATTTTAGAAAAGAAAACTTTCTCTAGAACAGTGTTCTCCTTTCAGGACCTCTAATGGGTACAACATGTATGTATGTATGTGATACATACAAGAAACCTGAGAGAGGCGTTTGTAAGTTTGGCTTGCTATTTCAGAAGAGACTTCTTTTTCTCTGTACCGAATAGGCCATGAGGAGGTACTTTACCAGTAGGTGGGGATGGCTTATTTTATCAGCAGGTGGAGTGCTGTGCCAGGATGAGCAGAGAGGAGGTAAAGGGCCAAAACTTCAAATACTCTCCCTTAAATCTAGATCAGAATGTATAGTGGTAAATGAATGACTGAGGCCATTGAATCAAGATATGCCTTTTCTTTTGCTCCTCAGTGAGGAGGCATGGAGGAGGTAGAAGTCCCTTGGATTCAAGATCATGATGTCATTGGTCAGAAGTAGGATATTAAGTAGTGGCTTCTGATTTATACAAGAATTTCTGCGGCTTTGACTGTTCAGAGATGTCTAGGAGGCTTAAAGAATGAGTAATGAAATAAAGGAATTGTCTGTCTCCACCTTTCCCTCAATAAAGATTATTTCCCAGCCCTTGCTATGCCTGTGACTTGATGCGGAGGTACAGGAGCCACCATCCACTGCATGTAGTGTTGATAAGTGGAGGGGAATCTCCTGCTAAGTCAGTATCTCAGACTAGGATGTGGTACATTGGACCTGCTGTCACCAGTCAACTCTTCCTGAATTTTTATTAATAGGGGAAAGAGATTGTGGAAGAAGATGAGGGGTAGAACAGGAAGGAGGAAGGGTGTTTGGTTTCCCTCACTGCCTACTTTTAAAACCTTTAGTCTTCATTATCCTTTTTGTCAGCAGGCCTCACAGATTCAGAGCATTTGCCCCACTTTGGTCAAAGCTGTGAGATGTACACTTGGCACAGCTTGAGGGCAGCTTAGCAGTCAACAGCTGAGGAGTAGAACATGAGCCCAGCTACTGCAGCTGGGAAGATGGCTCCAGATTCAGCATCTGGGTCATTTCAGCTGCCAAACGTGCTCCGTTTATGGTCATCCTAGCTGCTTACGCGGCTGGGGAGAAGACAGGAGCACAGCAGACTTTACAGAGAGAGCTGAAAGCGGAATCCTAATTGGACTGGAGGAGGATGATCTGCATGAGCAGCTTATGGAGTATAAAGTGCAAGAGGTGGCAATAAAGTTTGATCCAAAGAGGAATTTGGTGTGTAGAAGTTATAATTTGGCTTTGCTCTAATGAATGAAATATTCTCCATTAATGGCACTGAGCACAATAATACTTGTATGTGGGTCAGTAGTGAGAGCTACCTGTTTGTTGAGTGCAGATGTCCTGAAGATGTCCTGAATCTTCACCTGTGTTTGCAAAAGTCATTGAGGTTTTCCAGTATATTGCTGTAGGAGATTATTTTTCTTTAATCTGGAATGGAAAGTGGAGTTTGTTCCTTCATTGTGGGGAGTTGCAGAACATCATCTTGGTAGGAATTTAGTTGGGAAGGCAGCATTGTCAAAGAATTTAATGTATAGTAATTGTATGCTGATGAAGTTTAGCCCCTGGAAATTGGTAGCTGCCTTGAAGTAAATAGCTCGGCTCTGTCCAGATGGAAGTTTTGTGAATCTATGCCTTATTTTACACAGTAGGAAGAAGAGTTGACTGAGCAACTGCATAAAACAACATGAAAAAGTATCTTTTCTTTCTTAGATGTCTAAGTTGTATTTTTCCCCAAACCATCTGACTCAAGGGTTTTGAAGTGACAATGCAAATGTCCTTCAAAAACCAGTTGCTATAATGCAACAGGCTATTGACAAGAAAGGAGTTAACTCCAGCGTCTAGCATGGACTTTTCAGAGCCATGAGATCCAGTACTACCAGCTCAGTGCTCCAGCGGCAAATCAGACCTCTGAAAATCATGGTAGTGGCCTCAAAATAAGATTCAGAGTTTTGTTTTGGTTTTGTTTTCTTAATGCTGTATTTGGCAGTTCTTCTTCTGATGTTTGCTCTGTGGAAAAGGCTCTTCCCACACTTCCAGATATCTGTGAAACTTTTGAGGTTTGTTAATTGATGTTTTCTGTAGATCCACTTACAATAAATTAGTGAACGTTTATCAGACTGGAGAAGAAAAAAATAAGAAACTTGCTGTATAAAGCTAAGTGTAGCAAGATGTGATTGGTTAAATCTGTACTTGTTACTAGAAAGAGAAGCATCTCAAAACGTTATTTCTAGTTCTCCTGCCCAAAAGGTTGTCTTGCTGTGAATAGGTCTTGTGTGTTCCTGACTTGGTACTGGGATTTGGTCAGTAAAGTCTGCAGATGAGTTAGGTGTAAGCTAACTCAGTGTAACATATTCCTGTGGTCAGAAAGGGAGGTGCTAGAGGATGTAGGTACCAGCAAACAATCTCTGTTGCGTTACTTTGTACTTTAATTGCAATGCAGCATTGAGGTGTGAGATCCCCGAGCACAGTTGGGTCAGTTGGGTGTGCGCAGTGGAGTAGCGTAAAGGTGATGGGATTGCATTGTTCTTTGGGAGGGGGGTGTGTGTGTAAAGAATATGATCGCCCATGAGAAAGCGTGTGCTGTTTCTGCTGCTGCTTTGGGAAGGCACTTCTGATTTTTTTTTATTTCCTGAAAAATTCTTCTCATTGCAGAGAGATTGGAGAACTTGTGTGAAACTACAGATGCTTGTTGTTCTCTAGTGAATTCTTTGTGTAGGCACCCACTGTGTAGCATCATGAGATACAAAATGTTTTCCATGTCTCAGAGTATTGCTCTTCAAGGTTGTGTCCATTTTGATAGATATATAACTGATGGTTATTGCAAATGTTCATACTAATAATGTTTATTAAGCTATCAACATATAATTGCCAAAGTTTAACTCATGTTTGTTATTCTTACACCTAAAGAAAGCCACTTTACAATACCAGATGGCTTTAAAGATGTGGGCAAACCA